ATGTTTGGAGTCTACCAAAAAAAATAGGTAATGTTATAAAGCCAGTGAAAAAAACGTTTCTTATGTAGTCATTTTGGGTTCGATACAGCAACTAATAGACATGTAAGCTGCAGAAAAATTCAGTTTGGTTCGGATATTTCGTTATTTCGGAATTCGGATCTGAGATTCAATTCGGTTTTCAGACGAAATCAAAATGTTCATTAGTTTTGGATGAGTTTACGAACGCATATTCATTACGACTACCACAGAAAACCATATACAGACATTAATACTAAAGCTGAATCTCCTAGACCCCAGTGGCATTCGGGATCCGAATTTCTGAATTGCATTCGGGAGCTCGTGATTGCCATTCAGGTCTTTGAGTCTCAGCTTTAGTAATTTATGGCATTTATAGACCCGAATGGCATTCGGGAGCTCCGAATGCAATTCGGAAATTCAGATCCCAAATGCCATTCGGGTCTGGGAGCCTCAGCTTTAGTATTATATGTATATACTGTATATAGCTCCCATGTTGCCATAACGTAAATTCGTATTCACACCCATTCGGATGCATTGAACCGAAAAACACATCTGATTGGCCAGAAATGTTCCATTTCCGATTCAGTTTAGTTTTTGAATAAAATTCGGACGGGATGCGAAATTCGGAAACGGTCATTCGGATTCAGACACATTCGGATGCAATGGGATTCGGAAATTTGGACGTGTTTCGAATGTCTGAATTTCGGAAAATTTGTACGAATTTTGATTCGGACCGAAACGAATCGTACATGTCTAGCAACTAATCAGATTAGGCTTTTCCCAGGACAAAGAAAAACAGAGCGCCTCCATCGTGTAAAAGATCATTTATTCAAACGGCCACACAGCTGAAAATGTACTCACAAGAGGGGACGACCGATACAAGCATGTAAGATGATGCAAAGGGAATCACTGGCAGCGGGAGTCTCACAGAATGAAACCGGTCAAATATCCTCTGCCCCTGTGAGTTCGAACGGTCTACGCGTTTCAGGGGCACGCCCCCTTCATCAGAACCTGCAGGTTCCCAGATCGGAGGTCATTTTGCCCCATCTGTGTTTCCACAAAAAAACGTCCTAATTGGCTATCCTCTCGTAACCGGCGGCGCCGGTATTTGCTTGGCTTTTCCCAGGACAATTTATGGAAGACGGTCGTTGGTTCTTTTGGGCAACACAGTCAGTTCTCTTAAAGACTTTATCATCATGGCACCTATAAGGTGGCCCCAGCATAGCCCATGCCTGCCCGCTGGCCCATCTCTCTTCAATCCCTGTGGGCCCAGTACTCATCCTGAATGCAGCTAAGGGGTCACCCATGCTCCAAAAAGGAACGTGGGATATTGAAGTGGACTGGTAAGGGGGGGTTGAGTTTACTTAAAGTGGGCTTAACATCACATATATGTTTTCATGGTAAGGGCATTCATAATAACTAATGTGCAAGTGTAACACAAATAAGAGGGGGACACTCTTAGAAAGGCCTCTGACCTCAAGGGTCCAGCAAGCCAATGGTCACGGGACCTCAAGGGCCCAGCAAACCATGGGTCATGGGACCTCAAGGGCCCAGCAAGCCATGGGTCATGGGACCTAAAGTGCCCAGCAACCCATGGGTCATGGGACCTCACAGGGCCCAGCAAGCCATGGGTCATGGGACCTCAAAGGCTCAGCAAGCCATGGGTCACGGGACCTTAAGGGCCCAGTAAGCCATGGGTCACGGGACCTCAAGGGCCCAGCAAGCCAAGGGTCACAGGACCTCAAGGGCCCAGTAAGCCATGGGTCACGGGACCTCAAGGGCCCAGCAAGCCAAGGGTCACAGGACCTCAAGGGCCCAGTAAGCCATGGGTCACGGGACCTCAAGGGCCCAGCAAGCCATGGGTCACGGGACCTTAAGGGCCCAGCAAGCCATGGGTCACGGGACCTTAAGGGCCCAGCAAGCCATGGGTCACGGGACCTCAAGGGCCCAGCAAGCCATGGGTCACGGGACCTTAAGGGCCCAGCAAGCCATGGGTCACGGGACCTTAAGGGCCCAGCAAGCCATGGGTCACGGGACCTCAAGGGCCCAGCAAGCCATGGGTCACGGGACCTTAAGGGCCCAGCAAGCCATGGGTCACGGGACCTTAAGGGCCCAGCAAGCCATGGGTCACGGGACCTTAAGGGCCCAGCAAGCCATGGGTCACGGGACCTCAAGGGCCCAGCAAGCCATGGGTCACGGGACCTCAAGGGCCCAGCAAGCCATGGGTCACGGGACCTTAAGGGCCCAGCAAGCCATGGGTCACGGGACCTCAAGGGCCCAGCAAGCCATGGGTCACCGGATCTCAAGGGCCCAGCAAGCCATGGGTCACGGGACCTCAAACCCCCTCTGCAGCCCACCATAGGTACACCAAGGATGATGTGCTTGGCACCACACTACTGGATTAAAGGAAACCTGAAGGGAGCACTTCAACCAGCCGCGGTTCACTAATGAGATAAAAGCAACATATTCCTGCCACAGTTCACAGTGTCCCCATCACAATTTCACCCGGCGGCAGCCATTTTGAATAACTATCTGCAGGCACAGAGCAACCCTGAAGGCTCTTGTCTCTGTCCCTTATGGAGCTGGAGGTTTATAAATAAATAAATAAAAAAAGATTTCCACCTTTTTCCATTAATTTCTACAACACTCAACGGTGTCACTCCACGCAGCCTAAGAGCCCCCTCTCCTTTGTAGACGGCGAACAATTCATTTCAGAAATATCCCCTTCAGCCATCATCGGAAGTCACTAAAAGCTGTAATACGGCACATCCCTGCCTTTGGCACCCAGCCAACTATTTAGCACTTTCTGAGCCAATCACATTTCAGCGCCATGCCTAGAGCACTGCGGGAGTTGTAGTCTGTCCCTTGGCGCAAAGCTATGATTTAGTTATTT